GCAAGGCCTCATTTTCTGCGTCCTCCCCACTAGCAGCCTTGACAGGTCAAGGCTGGCCTTGCAGCTGGCCCGCAAGGAAGCAGGAGGATGGGGGGCAATTCCCGGTTGTCCCCTCCCCCCTGGGGATTTGGGCGGTGAGAAGGGAAGAGCTGCCAGCTCGCTGTCCTCCGCTTCACCCCCGTTAGCTTACTTCCCCTCCTGTGACCTTGTGTTATCCCTGGAGAAAAGGAACGCTCTGCCTGAGGTCATGCAGCTGGCAGAGGAGCTGGGATGGGAGTGAAATGGTGCCCCTGTCTGGGTGCTCCCCTCAGACTCAGGAGCGTGAGCTCCCATGCCCGGCACTGCCCGGGGGTACCAGGAACCCGTCTGCAGTCCTGCCCTGTGTCTCAAAGGGGGCTCGTCTCTCCAGCAGCCAGGGTGGAAGCTCTTTTGACCCTGGCCTTCTGACCAGGCTGTGGTGTGGCATCTCCAGAAACGCGTGAGTGAGACCGTGCTCAGCCCAGATGGGCCAGAGCGATGGCAGAGGAGCTGCGGGCAGCTCTTGAATTGGGATTTGGAGGATGGTAGGAGTGGCTTGCCAGCAGTTTACGGCAGGACGTTTTGGGGAGGAGGACCACTGGGGCCGGGCACCCCAGAGAGTGGCTGTTGCAGTGGTTGGACCCGTGCACCTGCAGTCCTCAGCTCTGTTCACACCCCACCTGGCTCACCTACCCCACTCCCTCGGCCCTTCTGCGGAAACCTGTCCTCCTGCGCGCCCTGTGAGGGCACCTCCACCCCGAGTGGATTCTGTGGTCACAGGAGGGCTGGAACCTGGGGAGGGCCCAGGGGCAGCCGCCAGCACATCCTCTCGGGCAGTGGGCACAGCCAGCTGCGGCAGCGGGCCCTGCAGGACACAGTGCCCACTTTACAGAGAGGAAACTGACCCCCATTGTGCGGGTGCACCTTCCCCAGAGCGCAGCCTCGAGCCCAGAACGCCATCACTGGACCCTCCCCCCTGCCCTTGCTTAGAGGTCCCGCAGGCACTACAGACCCATGGGCACCCTCACTGGCCTCAGGGATACCCCTGGCCAGGCCTCGCCCATCTCTGGCCGGGGCCGCGGTTTTACATCTCTCACACAGAGGCTGTCCACCTGTCCCAGGGACGTTTCGGGGATCCCGAAGCCGCCAGGAGATGGGCAGGGGGCTGTGAGGAGGCCAGCGAGTGGTCTTGGCCACAGGAGGGAGGTAGCAGGGAGTGGGCTCAAGACCCAGGCAGGTGGCAGCCCCATGCCGCCGCCTCTAGCCTGGTGCAGCCCTCAGGCACTCAGCAGGCAGGGAGGACTCCAGACTCCAGCCTCTCCTTGCCCCTGTCCAGGACTGCAGGGGTCATCAGGGGCCCGGCTGCAGGGGGTGGCTGGGCTTCCTCCGGGCTCTGTGGATGTTTGAACTGAGTGGAACCAGAGGAGGGAGCCACCCTGCACCCCAACTTAGCAAATGGGGAAACTGAGGCCCCAAGAGAGGCCACAGCTTCCTGAGCCTGCAGTCGGTCCTGGGCCCAGCTGCCTGGCCCGCTCCTGGTTGATTAAAGCTCCTCGACACCCACCTCGGCCTGGCCCTGGCATGAGAGTGAGCTGGGCCATCCAGGCGACGCTCAGGCAAGGTGAGGCTCAGGCCTCCGTTTCCTTGTCTGTGAAATGTCTCCAAGGCGGTTTGTGAGGGCCCAGTTCTCGAGATAGCGGGAGTCGGGGCTCATTAAACACCGTCAGGCAGCGCCGAAACCCGGAACTGGCTTCCAGTCTGGACGGGGCAGGCCCTGGGTTTCAGCCTCAGTCATTCCAGCCTCCCCATCGGCAAGGCGGGGAAGGGCACGACAGGACCTGAGGGTCCAGGGAACCTCTGTGGCTCTGACCGTGCCCTGGCCAGGCTGCAGGGGCCCACGCAGGAGCACCATGCGCCCCTCCTCATCCCACGTCAGCCCAAGACACGCCACGCACCCCTCCACATCCCACGTCAGCCCAGGACACGCCACGCACCCCTCCACATCCCACGTCAGCCCAGGACACCACGGAGCCCTCCCCATCCCACGTCAGCCCAGGACACGCCACGCACCCCTCCCCATCCCACACAACCCC